AAATGCTTTTCCAGAGAAGACATCCAGATGGCTAACAGACACATGAAAAGATGCTCAACATCATCCATCATCAGGGAAACACCATCAAAACCATCACGAGATATCACCTCACACCTGTCAGAATGTCTAAAATTAACACAGGAAACAACAGATGTTGGGGAAGATGTGGAGAAAGGGGAACCCTCTTATACTGTTGGAGGGAATGCAAACTGGTGCAGCCACTCTGGAAAACAGTATGGAGCTTCCTCAAAATGTTAAAAATAGAACAACCCTATGATCCAGCAATTGCACTCTGCATTTTTATCCAAAAGATACAAAAATACAGATTCCAAGAGGGTACATGCATCTCAATGTTCAAAGCAGCATTATCAACAATAGCCAAACTACAGAAAGAGCCCAAACATCCATCAACTGATGAATGGATAAAGATGTAGTATATATACACAATGGAATATTATTCAGCCACAAAAAAAAGAAATCTTGCCATTCACAAGGAGGGGATGCAACTAGAATGTATTATGGCAGGCAAAGTAAGTCACAGAAAGACAAATACCACATGGTTTCATTCATATGTGGAAATTAAGAAACAAAACAGATGAACATATGGGAAGGGAAAAAAAAAAGAAAAAAGAGAGGGAAACAAACCATAAGAGACTCTTAAAGACAGAGAACAAACTGAGAGGTGATGGAGGAAGGTGGGTGAGGGATGGCTAGATGGGTAGTGGATATTAAAGAGGGTACTTGAGGGATGCCTGGGTGGCTCAGTCAGTTAAGCAACTGTTTTGGCTCAGGTCATGATCTCAGGGTCTTGGAATCAAGCCCTGCATCCGGCTCCCTGATCAGAGGGAAAGGTGCTTCTCCCACTCCCTCTGCCCCTCTACCCATGCTCGTGCTCTTTTTCTCTCTCAAATAAATAAAATCTTTTTTTAAAAAAGAGAGCATTTGATATGATGAGCACTGGGTGTTGTATGTAACTGATCAATCACTGAATTCTACTGTATGTTAACTAACACTGTATGTTAACCAACTAGAATTTAAATAAAAAGTTGAAAAAAAAGTATACTGCCTACTCCAAAGTCATGAAGATGATTTCCTGTGTATTTCTGTCATTCCTGTAGAATGGCATTGTCTTTCCCATTTAGATCTGCAATTCATTGGGAGTTTATTTTGTGTGTTATTTTGGGTAGAGTCGGCATATACTTTTTTCACATATGGCTATCCAACTGATCTGTTACCACTTTTTAGGGAAAAAAATCTTTTCCCCATTTCACTGCAGTGTCATCTTTGCCATAAATCGACAGTATGTGTAGGTATGTTTCACAGGTCTGTGCATGCATGCATGTGTACACAAATATATTAATCTTTGAGACAATATTACACTATTTATTCATAATTTACTCACTATAGGACTGTATTAAGTTTCGTATCTACTGGTGGAGGTTTTGGTGCTCCCTTCTTTAAGGTTCTCTTGGCTACTTTTTTTTTTTTTTTTTTTACATTTCCATATACATAGTTAGAATTTGCTTGTCAACAAAAAATAACCAGATGAGATTTTTTATAGGGATTGCATTGAATTTATAGTTCAATTTGAAAATAATTGACAACTTAAAAATATTGAGTCTTTCAATCCATGAACCCAGAATTTCTCTTCTTTAATGTTTCTCAGAATTATTTTATAATTTTTAGGGTAGAGGTCTTACAAGTATTTTAATTAGATTTACTTATTTTTTTAAGATTTTATTTATTTATTTGACAGAGAGAGATCACAAGCAGAGGGGCAGGCAGAGAGAGGGGGGGAAGCAGGTTCCCTGCTGAGCAGAGAGCCCGATGTGGGGCTTGATCCCAGGACCCTGAAATCATGACCTGAGCCAAAGGCAGAGCCACTGAGCCACCCAGGCGCCCCTAGATATTTGATTTTTAATCAACTTTATTGGGATATAATTTACATACAATAAGATGCACACATTTTAACTATACAGTTCAGCGATTTCAACAAATGTATTTGCCTGTGGAGTCACTATCCCATCAAAGACACAGAACATTTCCCACAGCTAAAAAAGTTATTTTATTTCCCGTTTTATACTCAGAAAAATTTCAACCTTCACGCCAGGCAAACACTGATTTCATCCAATCTGTATCAACATAAATTAGTTTTGCCTCTTCCAAAACTTTATATAAATGGAATCAAACAGAATGCACTCTTTTTTGTCTGATATCTTTCCCTGAGTATAATGTTTTTTGAGATTTATCTATGTTACTGTTTGTACCAGTAGTTTGTTCCTTTTTATGTCTTTGTAGTACCCTAACATATGAATACATCATAATTTGTTTATATATTTACTTGCTGATGAACATTTGGATTGTATCCACTTAGGGGCTATCCTAAATGAAATTGCCATGAACATCCCTATACAAATTTTTAAAAAGATTTTATTTATTTATTTGCCAGAGAGAGAGAAAGCACAAGCAGGGGGAGCAGCAGGCAGAGGGAGAACAGACTCCCCACTGAGCAGAGAACCTGACTCCAATCTTGATCCCAGAACAGTGAGATCATTACCTGAGCCAAGGCAGATGCTTAACCGACTGGAGCCACCCAGGAATTTCCCTATACGAATCTTTTTGAGGAAATATGGTTTGAATTTTGCTTGGGAAAATTTGTTAAGAGTGGAATTTTTTGGACATATAGTAAGTGTAAGTTTAACTTCTCAAGAAACTATCAAAAAGCCTTTTAAAGTGGTTGAACTTCTCACCAGCAATGAATGAAGAAGATTTCCAGTTGTTCCATGTCTTCAAAAATACTTGGGATTGTCAGACTTTTTAATTTTAGCAATTCTGTCGGCTATGTTGTGGTATTTCATTGTTTGTGTTTGTTTTACATTTTCCTGATGATTAATGACATTGAGCATCTTTCCATGAGCTCTTTGGTGATTTATACATATATGTACTTCAGTGAAAAACTTGTTCAAATCTGTTGATGACTTTTCATTATATTGTTTGCCTTATTTTGAATTTTAAGAGGCCTTTATATATCTTCTGGATAAAAACGCTTTGTTGGTTACACCTATTGAAAATATTTTTTCTCAGCTTCCCATGCCATTTTCTTAACCATATCTTTCACAAAGCAGAAGTTTTTTTATTTTAAATTCATTGTCTATGTAAACTCCACTACTATACTACCTTTATTAGTGCATCTTCAGTCTGGAAATCAGGTAATATAATTTTCAACATTTGTGGGTTTTTTTCAAAATTATTGTCTATACTAGGTCCTTCAAATTTCCATATAAATTTGGGGGTAATTTTGTCAAGTTATACAAAGATGCCTGTTAAAATTTTGATTGTGACTGATCTAAATTTATAGATTAATTTGGAGATAAATGATGTCTTAACAGTACTGAATTTTCTGATCCAAGACCTTGGACTTTCTTACATTTATCTTTACATGATATCTTTACATCTATATTTATCTATCTATGTAAAATACATATAATTTCAATTTCCAATTGTTCATCACTACCATATGGGAATACAATTGAGTTTTTTAAAAAAATATCCATCTATAGCTGCAACCCCACTGAATTAAAGTACTGGTTCCATAGCAGGTTTATTCCAGATCCCTTAGGATTCTCTAAATACATGATCATGTGATTTGCAAATAAAGACTTACATATTCCCTTTTGAACTGGAAATTTGTGAAGGAATTTTCATTGCTGGTGTTGATTCAATTCTAAAAATTCATTAAAAAAAAAAAAAAAGACTGCTGCAATACTGACTCATTGGCACTTCATGGAAGGATCTCGTGTATCTAGGGGCCCCTAACAAGAGGAGCCATCAGCTGCCCTGCATTTTTCCAAGTTCTAAAAAAAGAAGCTGCCTGTAGAGTCTATATTTATATAATGATTTAACAGAAGAGACGGTTGAGTTTTTCCCCCAGCTATAATTCTAATTTTCAAATTAAAATAACTTTCTTTCTCTTTAACAAAAAAAAAGTATATTGGGGTGCCTGGGTGACTCAGTAGGTTAAGCATCTGCCTTCCACACAGGGCATGATAGGGAGTCCTGGGATCAAGTCCCCCACCCACTCCTTGCACGGCGGAAAGCCTGCTTCTCCCTCTGCCTGCTCTGCCAGGGTGTGCTCTCTTTCTTTCTGACAAATAAATAAATACACTTTCTAAAGTACATTGATTTTTAGGGTGCTTAACATAAAAGGAACAAAACAGATATTAAGAATTTTTCAAAATCCACTCTCCTGGACTCTTCCTGACACAACTTTCCACTGCATTTTAATGGAGGGAAAATGGAGAACATTGGCAGCAGTAAGGAAAGTAAGTGGAAGAAGGCATATCCTTGGAGCAGAGAAGAGAGGCAAGTCCCCAGGGAAGAACTGGAAATGGCCAGCAGGCCCCTGAGAAGATACTGCCCTTCCCCAGCAGGCACAGAAAGGCCCAGGAATATACAAAAAAGGGAGAGCCAGAGAGCCCAACCTGGTGCTGTTAAAAAGGACCCAGCAGGGGCACCTGGGTGGCTCAGTGGGTTAAAGCCTCTGCCTTGGCTCAGGTCATGATCCCAGGATTCTGGAATCGAGCCCCACATCGGGCTCTCTGCTCGCTGGGGAGCCCGCTTCCTCCTCTCTCTGCCTGCCTCTCTGCCTATTTGTGATCTCTGTCAAATAAATAAATAAATAAATAAATAAATAAATAAATAAAATCTTTATTTAAAAAAAAAAAAAGGACCCAACAGCAGAGGAGAGCTGCGCGGGCCAGCTGGCTGTGCGCCACCCGGCGGGCAGAACCCGGCACGGAATGGGGGCGGTGCCACTCGCGGTGACGAAGGCCTCACGTGAGCCGCCAACGCTGACTCGAGCGCCTCGCTGTAGCGTCAGAGCCGGCCTTCGCTCGCTCCCTTCTCGGTTTCTACACCTGGTGGCCGTGCGGGCGTGCGGGCCAGAAGCGGTCGCGAAGAGTCAGACGCGGAGGGGAAGTAGGTAAGGGACCGGGAGGAGGGGGAGCGTTCCCTGGTCTGGGTGTGGGAGAGCCCACGCGGCCCGCCGAGCCCTGCTGGGGGACCGGTGCCCCGGAGCGAAGCGGCGCAAGGACCGCAGCGCTCACGCCGCCCCGCAGCCCGCGTTTGGCCACAGAAAACTGTAGGCGGAGGGTTGGACGCCGGTGAGGCGACGACCCTTAGGAAACACCTGCCTCTTGCATCTCCGCCCCGCCCCCGTCCTTCTTGGTGTAGAAAATGGTGGTTAGCACTGAGGATGGGGTGGCGGGTCCGGGCGGAGCTGGGTAGCGTCGGGTCCGCGGGGAGCGCTCGGCTGCAGCAGCCCCCGCTGCCCCCACCCCGGCCCTCTGCAGGTGTGCAGGTGTCGTGGCGGCGCACTCTTGGCGAGAATCGGGAGGAGGAGGAGACTGCAAGGATAGGCCCAGGTCGGTGCAGGGGACAGTGGGAGCCGGGGGTGGGGGGAACGTGTGGAAAGCCCTGAGACCCCAAATTCCCTCGCGCCCCCCGCCCCTCTCCCAGCCCGTCCTCCATCTTGATGCCTGCAGAGGCCTGGGCAGGGATTGGCAGGGAAAATGGTGGGCTTTGGTGGGGGGGAGAGGAGCGACAGGGAGGGCTCGGACCGGGGCCCCCTAGAGGGCGTAGGAAGCCTCTGATGTGGGAAAATGAAATTTTAAAAAGCCTAAGAGATCCAGGGCTCTGAGTCTTGGAATGTGCGTAGTAGGGCCTCTGTCCTCGGTGCTGATCAGTCCCTCTAAGAAAATAATTTCTTCTCTCATCTTTTGTCTCTCAGGAGCAATGGCGTCCAAAGAGGAACAAGCAGTAAAAAATCTCAACGTGGAGAATGCCAAACAGGAAATTGAAAAAAAGGATGAAAAGGAGCAAGTTGCTAATAATGGAGAGCCCTTGGCCCTCCCTTTGGAAGCTGGTGAATATTGTATGCCTAGAGTAAATCGTAGGCGGTTCCGTGTTAGGCAGCCCATCCAGCAGTATAGATGGGACATGATTCAGAGGCTTGGAGAACCACAGGGAAGAATGAGAGGGGAGAATATGGAAAGGATTGGGGAGGAGATGAGACAGCTGATGGAAAAGCTGAGGGAAAAGCAGTTCAGTCATAGTCTGCGGGCAGTTAGCACCGACCCTCCTCACCATGACCATCATGATGAGTTTTGCCTTATGCCTTGAATCCTGATGTTTTCCCTGAAGTTAATAGGAAGATACACCTTCCTAAAGTTAATGTTCTCAGTGTACCTTTGTTGTCAACCTTTTGGTGTTACATGTTTCTTGTGGGTCTCCTATGACCAACTTCTAACTGAATGTTGTATTTTGACCCAAAATGTAAGATTCTGTCAGCAAGGGAGTTTTACCCTATTGCATGGCAAGATGTTCAGTATATATTGTGAAGTTAATAAAGCAGTTTAAAAGACATTCTCTGTATTCTCTTTTAGTTCAGATCTTCTATATTTTATACATGAACACACAGTCGAAGTATATAAAGTAAAAAGTTAAAGTGTTCATCTCTTTATGGTAGAATTATGAATAATTTTTATTTTTTAATCTATATTTTCTCATTTCAGAACTAAACACCTATTACCTAGTGAAAGGGCTTGGCCGCCTGATAAAAGCAGTGTGAGCACTTACCTAAACAGTTGTGACACAATCTCAGTTTTAGCTTACCTCTGGATCTCCTATTTAGAAGTATAAACCTAATAATGATAGGAGACAGATCTCTTTAAGAATCATACTTATATTTTAAAAAAATCATACTTATAAAGAAAAATCATACTTATCAGCAAGATGATAATAGCTCCAAGAGCTGCCTTGTATACTTAATGAAGCCATAAGTTTGTAAGTTCCCACCGGAATGTGCATGACCCAACGCTTTATTCCCTTCAGCTATTTGGGAAGGTTTCCAAAGCCAGGTATTTACGTGAACTAAGGGGTAGGTCCTTCTGTTCCTTTGCTACTGTGCCCCATTTCCATCTTCTTCCCTGGGTATTAATGTTCAGGAATCCTCAAGGTGAGAAAGTCTCACTGATTTTTTTCTGGAACACTCAATAAATTGCATCCTCACTCTTACGAAAGTGTGAATAAGTCCCCTCTCCGTTTTTAGCTTCATGAAAAGACCATAACTGTCTAGTCCTCTCTTAGATGTGTAGTTCTTTTCTAAGAAACCTCAGTTCATTATACTATATTAAAGATGTGTAATGGGACACAGGTCACTTTCAATCTGAGACAATCCTTCCTTATCCCAGCCCCCTGAAATCTATGAGTGTAAAGAACTAACTTACATTGAGTTGGATACCAGGAGATTATGTCCATGAATTCAGTGGATAACCAAATGTGGGTAATTATGAGAAGTCCATTGGAGGACTATTCAGTTTAAATGTCCCAGTAGAACTTGAGAAATGAAATTGCCTTGGAGTGTGCTATGTAGGTGAAATACATATGTATGAAGACAGTCTTGTATGGAAATAAACTTAGAAGTTAGGATTCTCGGGTGCCTGGGTGGCTCAGCTGGTTAAGTGACTGCCTTCGGCTCAGGTCATGATCCCGGAGTACCAGGATAGAGTCCCACATCAGGCTCCCAGGGAGCCTATTTTTCCCTCTGACTTCCCCCTCCCCCACTTCCCTGCTCTCTCTCACTTTCTCTCAAATAAATGAAATGTTTTTTTTTTTTAAGTTAGGATTCTAAAACGGAAGTTGGCAAACCACACAGTCCATGAACCAGATTTGGCCCGTTGCTTACTTTTGTGGCCAATGAGCTAAGATCAAATTTCACATTTTTATTTAAATGGTTGAAGAAAATCAAGAATATTTTTTATATGTAAAAATTACATGAAATCAAATTTTTGGTGTCCATAAATAAAATTTTATTGGAATATAGCCATATGAAGGAATTTATATACTATCTGTGGCTGGTGTTGTACTACAGTAGCAGTGTTGAGTAGTTGCGAAAGAAACAGTATGGCCTGCCTGCAAAGCCTACATATTTATTATCTGGCCTTTACAGAAAAAGTTTTCCAAACCCACTCTGGAATATAACATCACAAAAGCAGTTATGAAACCAAAGGTAAAAACAGATAGGCAGGTGAAAACACGTAACACAGCAAACCCCAGACATGAATCAGATGCCTAAGTAATTCCAAAACTCTCCCTCCTCCAGGTCCTTGAGACACAAGAATATTCATGCAGGACAGAAGTTTATAAAGATAAAGGCCAGAGTTGAAAGGGCAGGAAGACTGATGAACAGAGAAGCTTATGCCCTACCATACTTCCTACACTTGATTGTCAATATTAGCACCAGCTTTCCTGGAATACAGAAGCATTCTGGTTTTACTGACCTAACAATATTCAGCAGTTCCTTGAGAAAAAACTGGAAATTCACATGTGAACTCATGGCGTATTGTAATAGAAGATTAGGTATGCATATACCCCCCAAAATGTACATCTTTTCCGTGTAAGGCAGATCCAAGTTGCCTTGTTAACCTCAGAGATCCTAGTCTCTGGGGCGAGCCAGACTGCTATTAACCAGCTTCCCTGGTTCTTAATAGTGTTTGGGATCTGAAGGGGTATCTGAGGGAGTAGTGTAGTAACGGTCAGGTTCCACATAAAATGTTAAGGCAACAACCAGCAGAAAGTGAGCAAAAGCCCGTAAGAGAATACGGTATGAGGTTCCTTCAAGGGAAATAGCCCATAGCTAAGTTTCTGACTGCATTGCCTATCTATATCATCTGTATGTTATGTGGAAAGCCTTCTTTTCTCCCTCAGAGTGGCCATTCTCCACTGAAAGATGAGCAAATTCTTCCTGTGAATGCCTACAAATTTTAGCAAAGATTAGGGATTCTGCCCTGGTTCTCAAAAAAGAAACATACTGGGCCATTGGAGTTTTAGCACAGAATGTACATCTAGTAGATATTTGGTGAATGAAAAACTCAACAAAATAAGTATGATTTACTGGTATTCAGCAAATGATAAGTATGCACATCTTTGAATCCTTATGTATTTCTTTTTTTAAAGATTTATTTATTTATTTATTTGACAGAGAGAGATCACAAGTAGGCAGAGAGGCAGACAGAGAGAGAGGGGGAAGCAGGCTCCCCGCCGAGCAGAGAGCCCGATGCAGGGCTCAATCCCAGGACCCTGGGACCACGACCCGAGCCAAAGGCAGAGGCTTTAACCCACTGAGCCACCCAGGCACCCCTCCTTATGTATTTCTAACAGAACTGAGATGATAATGCACATAATGTCTCATGACTTTTGAATAAAAATAATTACCTTTTTTTTTTCTTAAAAAAAGATCAAGTTAATTGAAGGAAATTCAGAAAATGAATTTTAAAGGCCACCTTGTGACCAAAGAAAGCAATGCAGTTTGAACTTTTTAGTCAGAGGCAGAGCAGGGAGAATACACAGACACTGGACTCTTCCAGGAAGTCCAGATAGCAAAAGAACTTTGGTTGGAGGTGAAATAAAACCTTCATGATTAACTAACATTTAAGACACCAAGCTGCGGGGCACCTAGGTGGCTCAGTCAGTTAAACGTCTGCCTTCCGCTCAGGTCAGGATGCCAGGGTACTGGGATTGAGCCATGAATAGCATAGGCTCCCTGCTTAGCGGGGAGCCTGCTTCTCCCTCTGCCCCTCACCCTGCTCGTTCTCTCTCTCTCTCTCTCTCAAACAGATAAATAAAAACCTTTTAAAAATAAATTAAAAAACCAGGCTACATTTATGCTTCAAATAAAAATAGAATAACAGGGTCTAGATTTAACTCCCTAACCGAAACAATGAAAACCTGGACAAAATACATGAAACAACAGTTCTGTTATTTAACCTCAGACAACTGGAGGGGAAGTTCCTTGAGAAGGTAGAAACAAATAATATGAGCATTCTGATTACCCCCAGCTTACTCTGTATTGTTGGATTTATTTATAACATACGGAGAAGTAAAATGTATGTCAATAATAGCACAAAGACCAGAGAGAGGGAATGGAAGTATAACATTTTGAAGTTCTTATTCTACACATTAATATCATTTGAAGGTAGATTCTGAAATGTTAAAAATGTATATTACAAACCTTTCAATAATCATGAAAAAAGTTGTAGCTGATGAACCAACATATGAGATAAAATGGAATCTTGAAAATAGTCAGTAGAAAATATTGAGGAAGGGTTGCCTGGGTGGCTCATTTGGTTAAGAGTCTGCCTTCAGCTCAGGTCATGATCCCAGAGTCCTGGGATCAAGTCTTGTCTTGGGCTCCTTGCTCAGCCAGGAGCCTGCTTCTCCCTCTGCCTGCCACTCCACCTACTTGTGCGTTTTCTCTCTTTCTCTGACAAATAAATAAATGGAATCTTTTAAAAACGTTAGAGAAAAAAGAACAAAGAGCAGATGGGATAAATGGAGACAAATAGCAAGATGGTTGATTTAAACCCAAGCATATCAATGTCAATAATCATATTAATGTAAATGGTCTAAAAATACCTCAATTACAAAGCAGAGACTGTAAGATAGTATAGAAAGGAAGGCAAATATATGCTGCCTATAAACACCTTATTTTAAATTTAAAGATACAAATTGATTACAAGTAAAGGAATGGAAAATTGTGGATAATCTTAACATCAATCAAAGCTTGAGTAGCTATGTTGATATCAGATACAATAAATCTCAGAGCTAAGAATAATACCAGGGATATTACAGTCAATACATAATTTTAAGTGATAAGTTTGTTAAGAGGACATGACGATCCTAAACATGCACATATTATAGTGCTTTAAAATACAAGGAGCAAAAACTGACAGAATCACAAGGAGAAACAGACAAATCCACAATTACAGTCAGAGATTTCAACACCTTCTCTAAAATTGATATAACAAGTAGACAATCAGCAAGTACACATAGGACCTGAAGAACACCATGAAACAACTTTTCTAGTTGACTATGGTAGACCTTGCCACCAACAACAGGAGAATGTGCATTTGTTTGTTTTGCACATAGAACATTTACCAAGATAATCTATATTCAAGGCCATAAAATAAGTCTCAGTAATGTTAACAGGATTCAAATAATAAAATGTATGTTTTCTGGGGTGCCTGGGTGGCTCAGTCCTTAAGTGTCTGCCTTCAGCTCAGGTCATGATCCCCGGGTACTGGAGTTGAGCCACACATTGGGCTCCCTGCTTGGCTGGAAGCTTGCTTCTCCCTCTCCTACTCCCTGTGCTTGTGTTCCCTCTCTTGCTGTGTCCCTCTCTGTCAAATAAATAAATTAAATCTTTCTTTAAAAAGTATATTTTCTGAGCACAGTGAAATTAAATGAGAAATGAATAACAGAAAAATATCTGGAAAATCCCAAATATTAAATTAACATCAAACAACGCATGTCTAAATAACCTAAAGAAGAAATCAAAGAGGAAATTATAAGGCACTTTGAACTGA